AGAGGACAGCACCCTTTGATTCTGTGAAAGTTGGATCCCCTGGCCTGGAGGGCTGGAGATGTTGGTAACGATGTAAGTGAGAAAACTTCTTAGACAATGATTGTAACTTGCTAACATTAATTTTTAGTCACTAGAAAATGTGATGTTTTGTTTGTAACTGTGATGGGGTCTGCTTACCCCACACTAGCCCAAACAGGATTAAGTCCGTATTATTGACAGTGGAAGTCCTGCCTCCCCGGTGGGACTGGGTATGCTCCAGATGCTCTAGCAGTATAAAGGGAGGAAGCCCAGCTCATTCTGGGCTGGAGGCCGCAGTGGAAGGACCTGTCTGGGAAGCTCCAGCGGCGGGCCAGCCACAGCACCTGACTGCACCGGAAATCAGAGCCTCCCTGGGCCCACTTGAACTCCGGCGACTGGAGGAGCCACAGGAGGCGACCGGCCCAGCTGACCATGGAGAACCCGAAGTCTCATGGGATACCTCAATGCAGTCACTGGTAGGAAGTGACCCAGAGAGGATGATGGCGTGGTACCTCCCAACCAGAAAACCTCAGTGTGTTTCGGCAGGACCCCCCTGTTGAGTCAGTGGCAAGTTGATATGCTGCAGTTAGAACCCTGGGTCAGGGCCCGGTGGAGTCGGGAGGGCCGGGGCCCCCCTACCGGGGCTGCCACACCCCCTGGTGGACATCCCACCCCTATAGACTCTGGCCGCTAGGCCATGCTGCCCTGACCTGAGGGGCGTAAACCATCACAGTAACCATAGCGGTCTCTTGCTTAGTGCTACTTAAATCTCTGTTCTTTATTAATAAACTTATTCTTAGTTTTACTATAAACTATCTCAGTTATACTGCTATACTGAAGTTAAGTGTGAGTCCACAAGCAAACTAACAGGCTGGTGTGTGCTCTGGCTCTTTGGAGGCAGCAAACTCAATTTCTGTAAGGACCCAGTGAGAGGGACTGGACAGTAACTCTGGAATGGGTTACCAAGGGAGGTGGTGGAATCTCCTTCCTTAAAGGTTTTTAAGGCCAGGCTTGACAAAGCCCTGGCTGGGATGACTTAGTTGGGGATTGGTCCTGCTTTGAGCAGCGGATTGAACTAGATGACCTCCTGAGGTCCTTTCCAACCCTGATATTGTATGGTTCTATGATTATAGAGATGTTGCTGGGAAACTCGGGAATTGGGGCTTGCTGATAGTTGCCTACAAGGCAAGATTCAAACTGGCAGAGTTTTGAGGAATTTGCTGGTGAAGCAGACAGATGGTGTGGCAGGGAACTGACAAAAAGTCTACTCTTCAACAAAACTCACTGAGGCAGAGGGGTAATAGTGATTTAGAGTTCTGGGCTGCCCTGAGGAGAGTCACAATAAGTAATTTCACACACAGATAATGTCATTGAATTTAATGGGACTACTCAAGTGCATAAAGTTATTTATGTTTGTAAGTGTTAGCAGGATCAGGGCCCTTCTGAATAATACCTAAAGATTTTAGAATAATTTGGATTATTTGGTAATGTTTCTGTGAAAAAATTTATGGCTCTTAATGAAAGAACCTAAATTTTAGTTGATCCCTTCTGAGTTAAGGGGCCAGCTTTGCTTCCTTGCTCTTGCCTCGGCTGCAGGCATTAGCTAAGAACTGACAAAACGCATAGCTGGGGACCAGACCAGTTCACCTTTATGTTAGTTTAGCTCAAAACAGGTTTTAGTCTTATAAGAATGTATTTAGTGTTTGGATGCTAGGAAATGCTTGTAAATTGCTGCATGCATTCATCTTACTTGTTATGTCTGTATTCTACACTCTAAGAAAATATGTACGTTTTACTTTGAAAATGAACTTGTGAACCAAGGCGTGGGAATTGTTGTCACCCCCCATCTATGCAGAAAAACTATCAAAATAAGATTGTGCATCAAGGAACATCACAATACAAAGGATTGGTTAATGGCCCTATCACATCTGGGAAATACTACAGGCAAGGAACCTCATCCTGTAGGCTTGGAAGCTGAATGAAGGATATAAAACCAAGCCACAAGAAAATGTTCTGTCTTCTTGGCTGTTTGAACTCTGACAGGGCCAGAGACTCTAAACTGAGGCTGAGTTCCCCTGGGTCCACCCTGAAAGACACTTTGAATTATTACAACTACTCTACAACTCTGTCACTCTTAGGATTTAGATGACTTGTTTTAACATGTAAACAACTCTCTAATTTCTTTAGCCTAATTAATAAACCTTGAGAAAGTTTATTATAGGATTGGCTACAGGCATTGTCTTTGGTGTAAGATCTAGGGTACCAATTGACCTGGGGTAAGCGACTGGTCTCTTGGGACTAGAAACAACCAGACTGTGGTGTGATTTTTGGTGTAAGTGACCATTTATCAGTAAGTCCAGTTTGTCTGGGTGGCAAGATAGGAGAGTCTAAGAGGACTATCTGTGATTCCATGTTAAGACTGTTACAGTGATGCAGGAGTTCACATTTGTTACTGGCTTGGTGAAATTTAATTATAGAACAACCACCAGCTTGGGGTCTCTGCCCTGTTTTTGACAGTCTGCCCCGAGGTAGGCACTCATGGTCATGACCCACTCCTGTTGTGACAACTTAGTTAACTAAAACTTGCAGGCCAGTCTCACTACATTTTTACTATGTAAGCAAACTGTTCCATTCTGACATATTAACACCAGATTAGCATCAGTACTGCTGACAAATCTTCTGGCTGCACTATAGCAGTGTCTGTTTATACTGCATTCAGCAGTCAACTAAAAACAGAACTAAAAAGAGACTTATTAAAGGCTATGTTAAACAATGGAGGAAGGATTTTAAAAAAGAATTCTGCTGACAAAGCCCTGTTATTGATCAGGAGTCTACTGCCAAGTTTCATCCTATTCAACTGCCATGTCACATCCATAGCTTTCAGAGAGGCAGAGGAAAAGGAAAGAACCTTCGTCTGGATATTAGAGACTCAGGATCTGAACAACAAATATATTGGGGACACTCAGGAGGGAATAATTTAAAAGTGTTTGTTTTCAAACTTTCACTGAAATTGTTGTGTTCAACATTATCTCAATTACTGTATACCTTTATGATAGAAACATACACCAGAAGTTAAAAAGTATATTTGTATAACCGATCGTGCTGCAACTGACTTCATCATTTCACTTCATTGGGTCCTCCCCTTCTTCTTCCAGTTTTATAATTAGTAAACAATGTTTTTATTGATTTACATAAACAAACAACATGGAATTAAATCAGTTTTAACACACAGATGGCATATGTGGTGTGACAAAGCTTTGTCTGTGTCTCCGTGGGTCCCACGTTTCCTGGCGGATTTCGCTAGCCTCAGAGACTCACTGTGAACCTCCACGCAACCCTTCTCTCTCTAGAGACAAGGGTCACAGTCTACTGAGCCATTTTAATCATAAGCCAGTGAGGAAGATGAGGAGAAGCTATCCTCCCTTGCACAGTCTCTGTGGTCTCCCAGTCTCAGTGATTAATCAGGAAGAGGGCAAAGGGGGGGGAGTCCAGGCCCGCCCTCTACTCCAGGCTCCACCCCAGGGACCCTAATAGTATCCGCTATGGTAGCTGACCTTTTAGAAATAGGACACATGCAATTCCCTGGGCTACTTCCCCATAGCAGCCCCCAATTCCTCAGGCTCCACTTCACCCCTACCTCAGAGCCTCCTTCCTTGTGCCTTATATGGTGTGTACTGCTCACTCTCTCCAACCACACAACTTCCTCCCACAGCTCCTGACCAACTGGGAGGCTTTTAACTAGTTTCAGCCAGTCCCTGATTGGCTTCAGGTGTCCCAATCAACCTAGCATTCTCCCTGCCTTCTGGAAAGTTCTTAATTGGCCTCAGGTGTCTTAACTGACCTGCAGCAGCTGCCATTTAACTTATCCTGGTACCAGGGATTTGTTTAGCCTGGAGCTAATATATCTATCTCCCACTACTTTTCTGTAGCCATCTGGCCTTGCCCCGTCACAGTGGATAGATATATCTAAGTAGAATAAGTGGGGACAATATATAGCTATTTCAGTATACCACAAAATTTGAATTCGTATATTGTAATTATACAAATTTGAATTATTTCAGGGGATTTCTTTTAATTCACAAAGTAATTTTGAAAAGGGTGCAATATCAGAGTGCTTCAGAGAGAAGACCATTACTTCTATACAGTGTATATAGATAGGTAGATTATATTCAATATCCCAAAGGCTGCAAAAGTAAAGCTTCCCCATATTATACAAATCAATATTGGAAGGACCAACTCCAGAGGGAGTATTCATGGGAGAATACTCATCTCGTTATCCATACCAGTTTTTAGTTGCAGGTTCTGATTACACAAATGGGCCAATATTTTATTGACTGTATTTTGCTATTTTCCTTAAATTAGGAGAAATTGGTACATACATAACCTAAATAACTAAAAAATGTTAAACTCGCATGGCACAACTGTTAAAATTGCTAAAAAGCTTTGATCAGCAGCAATGAAAGCATATCCACACGTAAGATTTTAAATGACCTTGTTAAATTTTTTATTTTGTATAAAACACAATGTAGGAACAAAAACCAGCAGAATGCAAAATAGAAAGAAAACATCTTTTGGAAAACTGCACAAATCTGGAAGAGGTGTATGTGAAGTATAGGAAATAGTACAGTAGATTTTCAAAGGATCATATGGATTTGGACTCTGAACTTCTTTAAAAATCCCATCCTTAACAGATGTTTTGCAAATCCCGACACAGATTTCTATTGTAACTAGCAAGTATTTTCAGTTAGTAACAACTGTGCCTGGATTCGAACCAGCAATATAGCTGTGAAAGGCTCAGCATTACTTTAGCAAATGCCAAACCATCTATTTATACTCCACCCACATTTAAGAAATCACATTTAAGATTTTCAAAAGAGTGTGACACCTGAGAATGTGAATAAAAATAAATTATGTTTGGTTTTTCCCCATTTCTGAAGTCATGTTTAATTCACTTTTGATATAAAAAAGTCACATTCACTTACAGATATTTTAGATTTTCAAGGTCTTCAAATGCCCCACTAGGTATTCTTTTAATCTGATTGTTGTTTAGAAGCCTAAAAAAGAAATGAAAACAGTATGTTTCTTAATTTATAAATTGTTAAAACAATTTGCAACTGAAAAGAACCCAGAATGCCAGGCTGTCTGACCAAAAGTTTATACAAGCCAAGCATCAAAAACTAGATTAAACAAAAATAAACTAATGACATATTAGCAATTGTTACCAGAAATAAACTGATGAATTTGTGCCTTCTCTGTTTTAAATCCAAATGTGATTAAATATGTCCTTACAAAATCATGTGCTTAAGTGCTCTACTGCACTGAGGTGAAAATGAAATCCTTAACGAACTGAGAGAGAAATTAAAGAAAAATACATAAAACCTAAATAATCTGGCTTCATGCAGGTACCAAGAATGGTGAGAAGGGGGGAAAAAATCTCTTCCCCAAATGCTAGTCCAGATTATGGGCTGGAAGAGGAGATGCTGCCCTCTGAGATGCCCACATTGAGCTTTCCCAGCCAATTACTAGAGTATTCCACACAGTTTTAAAAACACAGCAGTGGAGAAGCATTTGAACAACTTGGCTATGACTGGCTGGTCTACAGAATCCGATGTTACACATTTGTAGAGTTTAAAAACACAACACAATTATGAACAACTGTTAATATGCAGTTATATATTTTTCATATCTTTCATAATAAGTGTAGGGATTAAAACAGCCCTGAGAGAGGGCTGTCTGGGGGAGCCAACAGTAAAAGCAGCCTTGGAGAGGGCTGTGGCTGGGAAAGACTAGGCTGATTGGGGAAGCAGCCAAAGCTGTGGCCAGCTCAATCAGGGCCCAGCTGGCCCGTATAAGAGGGCTGGGGGCCAGGAGCTGGAAGAGTCTTACTCTAGCCCTGGGGTGGGAAGGGCTAGTTGCCTGGGAGTGAGGTACCCAGGCTAGAGCAGTGCTGGGGAATACGGCAAGGGAGCTGGGGAGCTCCAGCCTGGTAAACCCCCCGGCTGCAGGCCTTGATGAAGGCCTATGAAAAGGTACTGGAGCTGCAGAGGGGCAGCCTGCGGATAGGCGAAGGCAGCAGGTCCTAACCCCTTGCCAGTGATGAGTGGCCATTACAGATTGCAGTCTGCCCCAGTGAGTGGGAGCTAGATGATGACTGGCAGTAGCTACTGATGCAAGGTGGGGATAGAGGGTTGGGGGTTCCCCTGGGAGTTGAGACCCAGAGTGTGGGGGCACTGCCAGGGGACTGGACCCCAAGGTAAAGGGGCACCAGGGTGTGGGAGGGACACGGGGTCAGTGCTAGGCGAGACACTGGCCAGCAGAGGGTGCTTTGAGCCTGGAAAGAGCTAATTCCCAGACAACCAGCAGGAGGCGCAGTGCCGGTGAGTCGTCGCTCCGCTACAGGCTGTCCATGTGTTTTCTGAGGCCTCTAAACTTTTAACAAAGTGTCCAACATATTTGAAAACAAAAAACAAAGACACGTGTATATTCGTTCACAATTCGGCCAAATCTTGCTAGCCGTACTCAGGTGAATAGTCACATTGACTTTTTAAGTAAGATTGGCAGAATTTGGCACATAATCTAAGAAAACTCATTTGACTGAAGGAGGGGAAGTGTTTTCGGGGAGCAAGGGAAATAACTTACAGTGTGTTCAGGTTTTTAAGCCGTCTAAATGCTCCAGGCTGAATTTCTTTAATTCTATTAAACCGTAGATCTCTGTGGGGGGAAAAAAAACAAACACATCAGTATGAAAAACATTACTGTGGGTCACCATTTTGGCAAAGGGTCCTCGCCTTTGTGCATGATTCATACCTCATGACCAAATGGGGGGAGGGTGGGTGAAACTCATTTAAAATGAGGGCTGAACAAAAATGGGTACAGTCAGACAACGTGGTCTGTGAAGGGCAGTATTCGAGCTTGGTTGTTAAGCCTTTGAATAGCAGCCATTAATCATGAAGGGTCTTCACTTCCTCAATGGAGCATCTCCTAGCAGGTGGAAACTCTACTGTCTTTCTTTGGGTATGTCTACACTTCGAGCTGGAAGATGTAAATTCCAGCTCCAATTGTGATTGAGCTAGCATAGATAGTCTCCTAGAACTGGAATTTAAACATTCCAAAATGAAGTGTAGATATCTCTTGTCTTCAGAAACTGTTTGGGAAAAAATGAGGAAAGAATGGGGGAGGGAATATATTAAGGAAGGACAATAAGGAGGACAAAAGAAGAGTTGGTATAAGGACAGCCAGAGAGTCTGCCAGTTTGGCCAGCAAGGGGATTGCTTTCAAGAGACATAAGCTATTAACATTTTCTTTTTCCCCCCAACAACAAAGATGAAAATGACTTATCTAGTGTAGCTTATAAAAAGTATAAATCTAACTACATTAAACAAGCTGTTTTTGTTTTAATTCCATTTTCTCTGTTTTTAACAAATGTTTTATTCAGATTACTGCAGTATGGGCAATACAAAGAGAATATCACCACGCTAGTTTTAAATGCTTACAGTAAAGCGTTTCTGGAGCCTACATCTTGCCATTCAGTCTCAGGGCACGGCTACACTTGCAGATGTAGAACGCTTTGAGTTAAACCAGCCTTCGTAGAGCGCAGTAGGGAAAGCGCTGCAGTCCATCCACACTGACAGCTTCAAGCGCACTGGCATGGTCATATATGCAGCACTTTCAGCAGCATTGGGAGTGGTGCATTATGGGCAGCTATCCCAGCATGCAAGTGGCTGCAACGTGCTTTTCAAATGGGGTGGGTGGGGTGGAGTGTGACAGGGAATGTGCTGTGTGTATGTGGGGGGAGAAAGTGGGTTTTTGGGGTGCTCAGAGCATGACAATATGCTGTCTTGTACGTTCAGACAGCAGCAGACCCCCCCACCCCCCCACCTCTGTCTCTCACACACAGCATTCCACAGTAATGGTTGCTTTGTCTCGGAGGAGATAAGCAGCTGGCTGCCAGAAACTGAGCTTTCAACGGGCATTTCCGAATTCCTACAGCCGATTCCAAACAATGACAAGAGTGGTCACTTGACTTAAGGGGATTATCGGATGTTTCCGGAGGCTGATCAGAGTGCAGTAAAGCAACATGTCACTCACACTGGTGCCGCGGCACTCCCAGCGGGGGCGCAGCAAACGTTATTCCACTTACCAAGGTGGAGTACCAGCAGTGCTGTAGCCGCGGAGTCAGAGCGCTCTACGTGCCTTGCCACTGTGGACAGGTAGTGAGCTAATGCGTCTGGGGCTCTTTTTTTGCGCTGTAACTCGCAAGTGTAGCCAAGCCCTCAGACAAGAGCATGGACAGAAGAGTCTGCTCCCAGTAAGCTGCGTTGCCATCAAGCTTCAGCATGCCAACACAAAGGGAAAGACTAAGAAGGAGATGAGAATTTGTTGTGGTGTAGGTCACACTATTGTTTTACTGCTTTTACAATTAATAGATTCAATCCACCTATAAAAAGATATCATATAAATGCCTACATCGCAATCATCTCACTCCTTTGAATCAAAACAATCACCTCAGTTGAAAAATACATATAACATTTTAATTATTTTAGATACCAAACCCTAGAGCTAGGTCTTAAACTAATCAGGGAGAAATCACAGAATAATAGAAAATCCACATTCAGCTGTTTGCTACACCCATTCTATTCCATTGACTGAGATTTTATAGAACTGAAGGCATAACTTAGCCCAAAGTCTTTTGCAAAAGGTATGCTTAAACCAGGGGTGGGCAAACGACAGCACGCGGGCCGGATCCGGCCCACCAACCGTTTTAATCTGGCCCTCGAGTTGGGTCTGGGCTTGCCCCATTCCGGCACTCCAGCTGGGGAGCAGGGTCGGGGGCCACTCCACATGGCTCCCAGAAGCAGCGGCATGCCCCCTCTCCGGCTCCAATGTGTAGGGGCAACCAGGGGGCTCCACTCTGCACACTGCCCCTACCCCAAGCGCTGCCCCCACATCTTCCATTGGCCGGGAATCACAACCAATGGGAGCTGCAGGGGCAGTGCCTGTGGACAGGGCAGCGCGTATAGCCGCCTGACCGCACCTCCACATAGGAGATGGAGAAGGGACATGCCACTGCTTCTGGGAGCCGCTTGAGGGAAGCAGCATCCGGACCCTGCACCACCTCATCATCCCACACTCCAAACTCCTGCCCCAGCCCTGATCCCCCTCCCACACTCTGAACCCCTCAATCCCAGCCCAGAGCACCCTCCTGCAGCCCAACCCCTTCACCCCCAGCTCCAGCCCTGAGCCCGTACCCACAGCTGGAGTCCTCACTGCCCCCCCGCATCCTGAACTCCTCATTTCTGGCCCCACCCCAGATCCCACACCCCGAACCAGAGCCCTCACCCACTCCTGCACCCCAACCCCAATTTTGTGAGTATTCATGGCCCACCATACAATTTCTATTCCCAGATGTGGCCCTCGGGCCAAAAGGTTTGCCCACCCCTGGCTTAAACTCTTATTTTTCATGAACCAAATCCTTAAAAGCTTACTCAGTTTCTACTCAGCCAAGCAGAGTCAGTCTGCAGACAGACAGCCCATAGTAAGGTAGGATGAGTTGTGCCTCTCTGTTTTGGGTTGCTGTGTGTTACGGTTCTGGTTTCCAAGAAATAAAGTAGTGTCACACTGCAAACTTCCAGCAAGAATATTTTATGTTTTTATCTAATTTATCTGTTTGTATCTGTTTATATGCCAGGAACATAACATAAAATGTTATCTTTACCTCAAAACATTCCACACAGACACGCTGTAGTTAAATTGCATGTGCGTCTAACAGCTGCCAGGAATTGAACTAGGGATTTCTAGAGCTAAAGGCACAAGCTGCTACAGCTTGAGCTAAAGTTCTCTGATAGGAGCTGAAGCACTGACATCTTTTGTGGATCAGGCAGGCATATAACACACACTGACTGACCACTGGATCATATTTCCTCTGACCAAAGTAAGCACATCCTGAGTGTCTGAGACCCACAGCAGCTTGAATCCCAGAACAAATACCCACTAACATCAGACACTCCGAGGATTTAACCAGGGACCTCCAAAGGTAAAAAGCATGAGCTGCTACAGCTTGTGCTAAACAGCCAAGATTCCTTAGCTACAGCTTTAACAGATTCATATCCTCCATGGACTGGCACAGAAAGGAGTGTTTCACAATAATTCCATTTTTTTCCCCAAAATATATCGTTTCATTGCAATTTAGGTAAAAATTACACCATACTTTCAATGCTTTTAATTTTGAGTAAAATTTAAGAAGTGCCTAAGTCCCACTACCAGTCAATGGGATTTGGGCTCCTGGGCTTCTGTGTCACTTTATCCCTTTAAAATAACCACCTGTGACCAAAGTCAACATTTACCCAAAATAAGCACAATGATCATGATCTATATTTAGAATGGGGAAATTAGAACTCGGCATCCTAGCAAACAAGTATGTATTTAATTTAAACATGTTAGGTAAGCATTGAACCCTCTGAATCAATACCAGAGTGCTCAACACAGTGCAGAAACAAGCCCTTAATGCAGTAACTCAAATACCACTGTGATAACTATGGATAGATAATCTTGATCACCGTAAATTCACATTATTTGATGGTTAAGGTTGCGTACCCAAGCTACTGCTATAGTTTCTATCTGCATATTAATTTCTGCAAGACTGAATAACAAGCCAAGCTGAAAGGCATGGCAACTTATTTCATTCTGTTCAGTAGTTTTCAGAAAGTGCCTGACAAACAAACTACAGTGCACACATTTTCCTTAAAGTCAGATTCTTCTGGCATCTTCACGGAATTATGTTTCACGAAAAATTATGACCACACACATTTTAGTCTGTGTTTACTTTACATATCTAAGGAAAAAATTTCTCTCTCTCTCTCTCTCTATGTATATAGTTTAAAAACTAGTAAAATTATATTAAAACTAGACATGATATTAGAACAAAATAACCAATCTGTTTATCAATCTGCTCATAATAATGGAAGTCAAGAGTTTGGTACCATTCCTTCAAAAGGGATACTGCAAGCCGATCTGGTAAACAGAGATGGCAACATATTCCCATCAAGCTTTATGGTTTGGCAGTAAGTTTTTCTGAATTTTAGTAATGTTTTTTTTTCTCTCCCCTGGTTATATAAAAGCCCCTCCACTCCAAAATAGAGGGGGAAGAAATTGAGAAAGTAAACATACTTAAAATGCTGTTAAAAATAAAGAATAAGCAATCTGAAATAACAGATTTATTTTTTTCTCTGATCCATTTTAGTTATAGCAGTCTTAGGTGTGACTTGTAACAATAGGTAAGAAATTGTTAGACAGAAGTATGATTTTTAATTTGACAGTATCCCTTTAAGTTTTGCAAAAGTCTCAAAGAAATTAATGGGGATATTTTAAGTGACTAGAGGGAGACCACTATACAAAATTGAGAGAAGCCACCTTGCTAAATTAAGATAATCACGCTCATTTCACTTGTGATCTGTACTAGCTCTGAACTAGTAAATATTGCAATAGAATATTAGTTCATTGTGCCAACCATGTCCCCAATGAAATCTTTTAAATACAGATAATGTGGGGGGGGGGAAGGGGATGTCACACACATGTATAAAAAATATGTTATGTATGCCTAATTTATTTGGGACGTGCTTAGAAAGCACCATAGAAAATCTTAAAATACACACATAGGTAAGAAATTTAGTAAATGTATTGCTCAGGTGACTTTTAAAAAAACATAACACATA